TTCTATGGATAAATAAACCAATTTTGACCACATTTGAATATGTGGTTGTTGTAATATCACTAGTGCTATTTTTGCTGCTATAAAAATTCGAGGTTCTGGTGATGCTAATTTCAAAATTTCTCTTTTAAAAAACCCTTTTCATTTTATTTCATGTCTTTTTTGGGTGTGGTATTAGACTCGAATGTCGAACAGCGAAAACAAGTACAGAGAACCCAAAGGATAATCAAATTGTTTTGAATCATCCTATAAATCAATCTTGCATAGTCATGTTTGAAAATCTTGCATTCTCATGTTTCGTTCATATGATCATGCATAAGATTCTCATGAACCTACATGGTCCAACTACTAACAATAATGTACCTCCTTGTGACTTCTTTCACAAGCGAAACGGAACTCTAGTAGGCGAACAAAAAATACGCAACAGATCAATACTTTTTATTGGCTATATTATATAACTTTTGAACTGCTTATTTTAAATACTTATAATATATAACAAAAAATAGTATCTACCAAAATTTTATTTTGATGACCATATGGAAAAATAAACATTAATTTTAAACACATTCGGCACTATTTTATTCCAAGAAGAACAATACCATATACCATATATTGTTTTTTTGCGCAACGTTTTCATGACAAGAGTAATTATGCATATAAACTTGATAGGCAATAAAAAATAACCACGTCTTAATAAGAAACAAACTTAGATTAATTAAAATCTAACAAAAAAATTACTGAGTGGGAGGAAGACTATTATAATAAAAGATTTCTGCCACTATATTAATCATTTTGATTTTACTATTTACCACCCATAATCCCACTTATTTCTTCTTAAATATCGAGTTAAATCATCGATGAAATCGTCATCCATTTCTGTATTATTGGTGACAACAAATAAGGCTTTTCCGAATGATATGCAACTGGTTGATCGGTATTCTCCACGATGATTAGAGCAAGCAAAACCCCAATTTTTTATATAGTCAACTGTTGGACAAACACTACATTTAATACGGCCATGGTTGGATATTTTTGTGCGATAATCATCCGTAGAATGAACCCAGTAAGAGGGTGTTTCGTTACTGCAGCCCTTCCCTGGACAAGCTGTATACAAATATACCCATCTTTCGCTCATCTTAAATAAATTAAGGTTGGCTTTTTGTTTATTGATAGAAAAGATTATTTTTCAGATGATGAGTTTGTCCAAGAATAATGCTTTTTAAAAGATTGTTGTTATTCCAAAAAAAAGAGGAGAGTTCTTATTCTTATCAGCAAAGAAATTACTGGAAGTGTTGGACTTTTTACTAAATTTAAATTTGCTAACCAACAGAGATAAGAGCCCGTTAAATATAAATCGTCCGTTCATTTATACTTTCTTGAATTTATTGATGCAAAAGAAATTGACAAGTACCGTGTAATTAGTTTCAGGCTTGGTCAATGATAAGAGATTTATTGAAATTGTATATAATTGTATGATAAATTGAGTACACAGTCATGCTCAAAAGTTTGTCAGTCCCGAGCTAATCAGTCTGTGATACTATATTAGAAAAGATTTATAAATTAATCATAGTATGCAGACGCGTATTTTTTTTGTCATAATACTAGTTGTTAAAATCATAAAGTGACGCTGATACACAATATGATCTAGATTAACATCTCAATATTTTTGGCTCGAAGTCGCTGGACCGATAAATTTTTATAGCACTACGGTTCAGATATAGAAATAAGTTATGAAATGAATGACAGAAAGGGAATTCTACAAATCGATTCACTACTTTTCATTTATTAGACTCGGCTCCTGAATAATCCAACCTTATGTGATTAACTCAACACTATTCTCTTTAAATAAATCCTATTGATGCCACGCAATAGTGTTATCTAAGTGATTAAAATGATCAACTATATATGTATTTGATCACGTATAATCATTGTAGGATCAATTTTACAAGACCGAGTTTGATAAGAAAGTAGTAAATAAACTTACTACAAGGCCCGAGTTTGATAAGAAAAGTAATAAATAAACTTATTACAAGACCGAGTTTGATAAGAAAAGTAGTAAATAAACTTACTACAAGGCCGAGTTTGATAAGAAAAGTAATAAATAAACTTATTACAAGACCGAGTTTGATAAGAAAAGTAATAAATAAACTTACTACAAGGC